GTCCGGGGACATGTGACCAGTCTCTAGTGTAGAGAAGACAGTTTTCCAGGAGTCCATCTTGTATAAGGAATTCTGTACCTGTTAACACGCAGAGCATGTGTAATCGTTACGTAGTACATACTGAGTTTGTTTGCCTTGGGCCTCCATCACTGTGCATGGGTATATTTAGTCTTTTCTTTTTATTGTCTTTATTACTAGACTTTCTTTTCTGTGCCTCCACTGCTTTTATAGAACTTACTAATGTTAGTCTTGCTAAAAATGCTATCTTTCCCCTCTATTATAAAAATATCACCTAGTCAGTGTAGAAAATTTAGAGAAACCTAAAGATGATGATAAAAATTACCCATAATCCCAGAACCTGGAGATAATTACTGTTAACATAATTACTATCAGACCCTGTTTTCTGAATACAGTCAAATAAATGTATAAAAATATATATTTATATACAAAATGAAGACAATATGTGTACAGCATTCAGCCTTCTTTAATCATTAAACAGTATATTGGGAGCAATTTCCCATACCTTTAAATAGTCCACAAGAATGTGATGTTTTGTGAATGCATATTTTTGATCATATAGGTGTGCCACTAAATGTCTATTGAATGTTTGTATGTGCAATTTTTGCTGTTATAATTTAAGGGATATCTTTCAGTATAAACCTATGTGTGTTTTTCTGTTTTTTGTTTTTTGTTTTTTTCTAGGACAAATTCGTAGATATGGAATTTCCTGGATGAAATGGTATGAATCAGTTTAAGGTTTCTCTCCCGCCCCCATACATATCGCCTAATTATTTATCATATGCGGTAAAAACATTATTTTCCAGTTGTTTGCCTATTGATTTTTTAGATCATTTATGCTGGTTTTTAAAAACATGTTGCAGCCTTACATTTTTAGATGTCCACAGCTATCAATTTTTGATTTGGTGATTTCTATCCTTTGATGAGTACATTCACCTGTATTTTTTTCCTTGTCATTTCATTGCTTCATTTTTTACAATTAACTCTAATTCATCTGGAATTTGTTTTGGTATATGTTATGAAGTAGGATCTAATTTTGTTTTTTTTCCAAATAGGTCATCATTTATTGAATAGTCCAACCTTCTTCCACTGATTTGAAATGGCAACAGCTGGCCTCTCATTAGATAGGGTGTAGCATCCACAGGTCAGCCATTTTCTCTCTGCCCCAGAGGGGTTACAGGCCACAGTGGTTCTTCTACCTTGCTGCAGCTTCTGGCAGCATCCTATAGCATCACGTTCGTGCTTGGGTCTTTCAAGGATTCTAGGCTTGTGCAGTGTAGGGCAGTGGTTTTCAAAGATGAGTTTAAATTTTTGAATATTTAAAACTTTTGTTTTTACCAGCTGCTTTTTACAAGTTAAAATGGAGGAATCTGAATACATAAAACCACTGTTCCAGATGTGCTGTTCCTCTTTGACACACCCGACATTCTGTGTGTTCAAAACTTATGCCTGCAGTTAGTGTTACTCTTTCAATCTCTTTTTCTACTCCTCAGGTACTTGGAGAATTAAAGCTGTCTGGATTCAGTTCCTGGAATTTTCTAGAATGGTGTAAGAGGGAAATGTAAGATATGTATAAGGAGCAGAAATAAATAATGTTTGTCAGCCTGTTGCTGGCAGGAGTCTGATCTAGGGATTTAAAGGAGGTAGGGTGAATCTCAGTCCATGCCATTAAGGCCACCATCTCTTGCAGGTAGGTACACACCCCAATGATTCACCTCTTCACTGCAGGTGGAAGGCTGGAGCATAAAACATGGAGTGTTTTAGTGGGAGATGGGTTAAATGGAACTCACAGAAATACTTGATTATTAAAATCACCTGCCACCCACTGTTGATCCCTCATTCCCATCCCCAACACAGCCTTCTTTCTCTCTTGACTTTGACTCTGGCCTCTAGCCGTTACTGATTCTGCAAGAGAAAAAGGGGACGTGGGAGGGAGGATGTCTTGCCCGCTCTTACTACAAGGGGCTTCTTTGGCTCCCAACCATGGCCTCAGTCATTTCTTGACTTGCCGCTTTAGGCTGTGATCTGTTTGTGACTGAAGCTGGTTTCCCTAGCAACGGCAGCTTGCCAGGGCATGCGCGTTCTCTCTTCTGCAGTGGCAGAATGCAGCTGTGGAGGCGAGGGAGGGGTCTTGGGGGCTCAGTCGCTGAAGAAGCCATTCTGCAGTCATGATGTCAGTTTTTCTAGGCAGGACTGCCACCTTTATTTTATATAGAGCATTGCGGTTTTTTTTTTAATCTTTGGAAGGCTTTGAGCCACTGCCAGTTTCTTCCTCACAAATTCGCTGCTCTCCCTATGTCCACCAGTGACCATGCAGTCTTCTGAATCTTGGAGGCCGCTAGTGCCTGCAGGGCCCCAAGGGGATTCATGATAGTGTGGGCACAGGAAAAAAACTGTGTGGTTTTAAACCTCCTCCAGTTGCTGGTTGCATGACCATAGTACAGTAGTCAGTTTCCTCAGATATAAAATGGGGATAATAATACCACCTTGAGAACAGTGTCTGCTACATAGTAACCATTGCATAAGTGTTGGCTATTGTTTGCAGACATTAAAGGAGATTTGCCCTGAAACAGACTTTGCTGCAATGTACCAACTCACCCTCTAATGTCCCCTGGACAAATAACACGAACATACATTTGCCCTTAAGGCACACAGACATTCCCCATATCACTCTGACTCTCCAAGAGGCACCCTGCCATAAAGACTAACCATGACACACAGACAATCCCGACATTACCAGCTGTCCCCACATCACCCAGACCCTTCTCCTGATACACAGAGTCTGTCTGGAGCACAGCACACAGATTCTCCTAGGAGCACCCATTTCTCCAGGCAAAAAGACTCGCTCTACAGCACACAAATGCTTCCATGGCATGCAATCTGCACCACCAAACAGGGGCCCTTCCCATGGCACATAAATACCGCTCACAGCTCAGATTCTCCCCACAGCATGCAGATTCCCAGTGCCTGACAGATGAAACCCATAGCTGAGATTCCCCCCTCCCACCACATGGACCCTCACCCGAGCATACAGGCACATCCCGCAGCAGGACTCATGACTCCCACCAAGCTTGAGGACTCCTGCTGTGGCACCCAGACAGTCCCTAGAGCATGCAGACCTGCTTCATGGCACATGGCCCTGCCCCGCATCACACAGACTCACCCCACAGCACGCACACTCACTCCAGTGTGCACAGAGAGACACAAAGAGTCTCGCACTAGACATAGACATGCCCATGGCACACAGAGAAGCACCACAGGACCCCGACCATGCCAAAAGGACACAGACTTGCCCCATAGGACTCAGACAACACCCAGATTGTGCAGACTCATCTCATAAAACATGAAACCCATGGCTCAGAGAGTCTTCCCACCATACACCAATTCTCCCAACAGCATACAGAATTACCCCACAAACACAGACTATCTCCACAGGACACAGGCACCCATGGCATACAGACCCTCCCCAGCTTGGACAGACTGGCCATATGATGCACAGCCTCTTCCCAAGACAGATATGCCCCTAGAAACACAGATTAAACCCGCAGTACACAGACTGTCCCCACAGCACTCGGACAAGCTCACACCACAACACAGAGATGCTATAGTATATCTTAGAGCACCCATAACCCGCTATGATGCACAGGACTGCACCACAGCACAAAAAATTTGCATATAATGTACCAGTTTATTTCACAACAAACACAGTTACCATACCATGTAGCTACTTCACCGTGGTGCCCTCATTTGCCCTACATCATCCAGACATCTGCCAAACATACAATTACCACACAACGCACCTGGGAGCCCTGTATCAGCAAACACACCCCAATTCCTCAGACACATTGTGATAAATACACAACTCACAAGGCACAGCACTGCATCATCACAGCATGATGCTTGGCCCCACGACTGACAGATCTAGTCTTTCTCTGAAGTGTTCAGATTCAGCCCTGTGGCCACACAGACCCACCCCTCAGGGCCCAGACACAGACGTGATCCACAATACCCTCACTCATCTTATAACATAGCTGTGATGCACAACATAGACACAGCGCACAGCACAACACTCCACCCCCATGGTGCACAGAACTGTGTCACAGTACACACGTGCAGTACAGATTCCCTCACTCCCTGTGGTGATTGAATAGTGCAAACACAGGCCCCAAGACATGTGCAACCATTTGCTGTATGACTCCCAGATTTTCCTCAAAGCACGCAGACTGCTTCCATTGCTTACGCTGCTGCCCATGAATGAGACAGGCCCAGCCATGCACAGAAATGCACCAGAGTGCACAGAGTCACCCATCAATGTACATAGTTGCCCCACAACACACACTAATACCACCGAACACGGAGACTCACCCAAAATGGACAGACAAGCCATTCCGGGTGTAGACTTGCCCCATGACATAAGCATGCCCACAAAACTTACAATTCAGACATGCCTGTAAACACATAGATTTCTTCCTCAATGCCCAGAACTGCATCACAACACAGACTTATTCTAATATGGGAAACCTACAGTGCACAGAAACATTCCCCACTGTGTAGTAACACAACCATGTCACCTGTGTAAGGCAAAGATTTCCATCAGAGCCTACAAATAAGCTTTATCATACTGTGGAGCTACAACTCTGGCCCACAACAGAGGTGCGGCTTACATAATGGTTAAGAGCAAGGTGTCTGGACCCAGACTACCTGGATTTGAATCCAGGTTCTGCCCTTTCTAGTTGTCACCTTGGGTAAGTATATTTCTCTGTTCTTTAGTTTGCTCATCTGTAAAACAAAGATAACAGTAGCACTTATTCAAAGGGTCTCATGTGAGTATTGAATGAGTTAGGATATGTTAAGTGCTTAGTACAGTGCCTGGCGCCTAGGAACTATTTCAATTGTTAATTTATATTGCTATCACCATCCAGCAACACCAGAATTCACCACATCATATATAGACTGGTCCGAGAACACTGAGAAACACTCTAGAGCACACAGCACGCCACCACAACACCAACACACCCTACAGAGCACAGAGAGAACCTAAATCAGATGTCACTCACAACACACACAACTGCATCACATTTAAGAATTTGCTTTATAATGCACAGGGTTACTCCATTATACACAGATTAATCCCACAAAATCCAAACTGGATGCATAACACCCAGCTTCCTCCCACAAAGCACAGACCCACAACACACACACACACACGCACACACAACTCAGCACTATACCCTATATTACACAAACACACACAGCCACACAGATTTTTATCCCATAATGTGTGGATATATCTGATACTCACAAACAGGCTTCCAAATTCATGCTCCAACACTTGTGCCATGATACTGAGTCTCATCCTGCAACATACAGACTCACCCAACAATTCAGGGGTGGCTCCCAACACACGCTCAATGCAATACACAGACTCATGCAGAGGCACCTATGTTCTACAGTCCATAGACCTGCTCCAGAGCAGCTCAGCACGCACAGACGTGCCCTGTACAAAGCATGGAATTCATTATAACACACAAACTAACACACAATGTAAGTCCTTTCCCTGTAAACTCAGACAGCCTCACAAATACACAGAACACTCCATAATACATATTACATCTCCCAAGACACCTAGAGGTGCTTTAATATGTACAGAGGAGCTTCACAATGCTCAGCGTTGCAGTGCACAAAACTTTGCTCTGTGGTGCACAAACCCCTCCACCCACAAAATGCCCACCTGCCTCTGATTCACAAACATGCTGCATAGCAGCAAGATGTTTCCCATGAACACAGAGAGGTCCCCAAATGCTCAGACATAGTCCATGCACATACATACACACATGCACTCTACAACACACAGGCATCGTACAGTGCGCAGAACACCCCCTCAATAGCGATCAGCCTCAGAATACCTGGGCACCTGTACAGCGTAGACACCCTCCTCAGAGCAACATGGCTCCCCCAGGACTTGCAGAATTGCATCACAATTTACAGACGTCCCTGATAAAGCACAGACTTGGACAACAATACTGACTCATTCTGCAAGGCACACAGACATGCCATAATCCAGGGACTGACTACTCACGACACATAAGCATGCCTTTCAAAATAGATGCTCTTGTAAACACACAAAATTCTCTGACAGCTCACAAAATCACATCACCACACATCTTCCCTTTAGAGCAGAGGCTGGCCACACAGTTCACATGGTTGGCCCATGGCAGAAAGCCTTGCCACACAGTGCAAACATTTGCACCTTGATTTCCAAACTTGATTTAAAACAATGCCCTCTGAACAAGATCTGGTCTCTCAATTCACAGATAAGCCCCGTAATCCTTGGGTAAATTTTTCAGTCCCTGGGTGCTCTGCAACCCAAGACATGCCACAACACCTAGACATACCCCACAAGGCCCGGAGACCTGCCACAAAGCAAAACACCCCCCCAAAAAAGGGGTGGTACAGATTGTGGTTAAAAGCTTACACTTGAGGTTCAGACTTACTCGGTTCCAATCCCACTTATCACTTAACACTGTGTGACCTTGGGAAGGTTTCTTCGCTTCTCTGTGCCTTTTCTCAGGTATAAATTGGGAATAATAATGCCTGTAAAGTGTTTAGAACAGGGTCTGGCATGGAATTAGTGTTGTCAATGTTAGCTGATCTTGTTGCTGTTGTTGTTGCTGTTGTTGTTTCTACACATGGAACTGGACCCTAATGGTAAGATGTAATCTGCAACCATCCAAGCTAATCCACAGCATGTGTAGTATACCCCCGCAAAGCCAGAGCCACATCACAGCTCACACTCCCAACCCTTCCTTACGATTACAATATTGACTGCACTTAGCCGACAGCACCCAGGAGCATCTACCACGCAGGGTCTCTGCATAACACCGAGACTTGTCACACAACACTTACACATAACACAGACACCTACACACAACATCCCCATGATATAGAAGCTTATCCATGCAGAGACTCAGCCCATTCAGCTGAATGCTATCATATATGTGTACATGCTCCGTAATATACGTACCACAGAGCATTGGCCACAGAACACAAAGAAGTCACTTTAAAATCCCTAGAAACCATCCACAACACACAGACTTCTAGGACACACAAAACTGCATCACACCATTCCTCTCAAAACCCACAAACATCGCCCATACACCCCAACTTGCCCACAATGCACAGACCTACTGCATAATGCACAAAAATCTCTCCACAGGATCTAAGCTTGCTCTATAACACACACGCTTGTCCCACAGCCCAGGGATTGTCCCATTTGCCACAAACATGATCTTCAGTGTACAGAGGCATATGACGAAGCAGACATGTCCCACGATGCCTATACTAGGCACACAACACACACACACTGGCTCCATACAAAGACTTAACCAGAAATACTGAGAAACAACCCAGTAAATACTTTCATTTCACAATAACAAGACTTGGCCTGCAACATATAGAAAACCATCCAACACAGAGACCCGATGCATAATACCTGGCTATGCGCCAATGTACACACCCACTTCACAGTGCACACTCCTCCCACAAAGTGGGGAATGGCATCACAACACACTGGCTTGCCCCACTGGGCACAGTCTAGCCTCACAGTACCCAGACGTCTACAGTACACAGCTCCCAGCCCCCCAAGGGAACAGAATTACATTACAATGCAAAGGCCCCAGACACCTTTAGTTGTCTCCACATGGTCCCCCAACAGACATGCAGGAACTATACCATTCAAATACAGCCTATAACCACAGATTTCTCCCATGATCTGCAGACATGCCCCATCATGCATCAATATCTCTTACAATGCAAATGTCTGCCTGCATTACCACACTCACATCAGAACATCCAGACTCAACTCACTGCTCACAGATTACTCTACAACCCACAGACATGCCCCACAACATAGACCTGTTATGCTGTGTTCACACTTTGTAGACCCACAAGCTCACCCCATAATGCACATAATAATAACACAGAGCCAAGGTATGCTCCACAAAGCCCAGACTGCCGCCAATGCACATTCATCACACAGCACAGCCATGGTGTACAATACAAAGCATAAACCCCAACAAAACACGGATAAACCCAACAATGCATAGACTTGCCTCATAACACAAGGCGTCCAGGCAACACACAGACTCTTCTGCGGTGCACAGGCTGAATCACAATGCACGAGGAACTCTTGTTCGTGATACTGATTTGCTGATTTGCATCACAATAGGCACAGCCGCTCCACAATGAAAGCCCTAGAACCACAACAGCCAGGCTCCCTACAAAGCATTCTCCCTACATTTCCACTGGAGAGGCCCTATACTGCATAGATATGCTCCCCAACTCACAGGCTTGCCCAGCCATACCTGGACACACCATACAATGCATAGACGTGCTCTACAATGCAGACAGATGTCAGAACACTCGTATGCAGCACAAACATGTCTCATTACACTCTCAATCCTCCCCAATGCACAGACTTATCTCATGAAACACAAGTTCATCCCACTAGTCTGATCTAATACTACACTCCCTAGACTTGTCCCTAAACACCAAGGCATATTCTAGAACACACAGAAATGTGCCACAGCATCCACAATCACACTGTGACACCCAGATCCATACCACGCTGTCCAGAAGGGCAGCATATCATTAAGGCATAGCACACACTCTTGCCTCAAATCCACACAGCTGTGCTGTGGTGCACAGACATGCCCTACACCCAAGATATCCCTTGCAACACCCTCACCTTGCAGTGAGAGGGAACACCTGTCTGACAAGGAAAACAGGAGCCATAAAGCACCAAGACCTGTCCTGCAGCACAAAGACATATCCTGCAAAACACATCCAGAATCTATCACCCAGATTCACCCAGCAGCGGCGAGCTCATTGCACCACATACAGAAATGCAAAAATCCTAATGCACAGACACAAATGCACAACTCAGACTCTTCCCCAAAAGCACAGCATCATACCACAAAGCACTATATGCTCCACAATACACATATCAAGTCATGATGGGGAGACCCAGCTCATGTCACGTGACTCTTCCTGCAATGCAGAACCATGCCCCAATATTTATCTCTTCTCCCATGACACAGTCATCCAGACATTCTTTACAATTACTAGATATAATGCCAAGAGTGCCCACAACTCAGAGACCCAGACCAGAGAATACGATATAACCCCGGGGCCTACAGATTCCCCACGTATTGCATAGAGTCAACTCATGGCACATAGATGTGCCACACAGTATTCAGAGTTGTAACAAAACCCACATACACACATGTTTTTACATACAGCCCTCAGCACAAAGACTGATTCAAGATACTTGGGGTCAATGACAACACTCAATCACCTTCCCCAACAAAGAATGGAATAACAGCACAAGACACAATCCATCCTACAATATATAGAACCATCCCCAAATTAACACTCTTATGCCATCGTGCAAATATTTGCCCAAACAGTGCACACACATGCACTACAACGTGTAGAAACACCCTACAATGTAGAGATCTGCTCCCAGATACAGACTCCTCTCATGACACACAGGATTACATCACAGCACATGAGCTCACTATTCAATAAATAGATTAGCCTAACACACACTTCTGCTGCATACCACACTAAGTCCACGAAACCCGGGCTTGCCTCAAAATACAGGGATTTGACCCAGAATCTCAAACTCACAGTACAACACACAGGCTCTAAAGATAGCTGCCAAAGCACATTAAAGCATGACATTACACCCCCGTAGAAACACCCTCACCAAGCCCATGGTGGCCCCGCAATGGATAGAAAGTAACAGCAGCACTTTAACTCAACATCCAAGGGTTTGAGTTGCCCCACAAAGCATAGAAGTGCCTCATAATGCACAGCCATGACCGACAACCCACAGGCCTACCCAAGAGAACAAAGTCTCACCCCACCACACACTGCTACACCATTCCCAAATTTGCACCAGTCACACTGAGCCCAAAATACACAAACCCACCCTGCATCAGACACAGCATGACAGAATCGATTCATGACTCACATTTATCTCACAGTGCCATACACACATTACAACGTATACACAACAACCACAGCTTAGCTACTCACAAAACAATGCACAGGATCCAGTAACAGACAGCACTCTCTACAACATCCCGACTCACCTCACAGTGCTCCAAATCACATAAAAACACACACCCTTCCAAAATGGACACCTTCACCCCAGCTCCTGTATGTACCCCACGATACACAAATATACCTCATGAGGTGTAGACTCCCCACAAACACACAGTATTGCATAACAACTTACAAACATTTCTCATAAACTTATACTCCATGATGAATGGGCTTCACCACACTGTCCAGTCACATCCTCAGACACATGCACTCACCCCTCCCCCGCCAACAGAGGCTTGTCCAGTAGCTCTACAGACTTGCCCCAAATGTGTAGAATTTTACACAACTTCTAAATTCATCCTACAGTGCACAGACTTTTACCCTACACACAGTGTTACCCCAGAGACTTGGCTACAAAAATGCAACCTGTGATGCATCAGAACCACCAGACAGACCCCCAGACCCACAGACGTTCACAACACCAGAACCTCTCCAAAGTCTGCACATGAGCCTCCCAATGCGCAGACTCTCCCATAACTCCCACACTCATCTCTCAGAACCTAGACCAAGTTACGTCACACATGCTCTATTACAAAAGCCTCCCACCACAGCCCATGGAATCCCATCACATTCCACAAATTTACCTCACAATGCAAAACTTCTCCAGAAATTGCTAAGACTTGCTCCATAAGGCATCCAATATTACTATGACACCTGAATTTGCCTCAAAACTCAGTCTTGCACCATGATACTACAGAAATGCCTCATAATATTTACTATGAACTTACAATGAACAGACTTGCCCCACAATGCCCAGACTTACCCCATAACACAAAGACATCATGTTCCACAGTGCAAAAATCTCCCTAAAACACAAACACTTACTCTACTATGCAAATTGCCCCGATGATAAGAGTAGGCTGCAAACATCCAGCCATACCTCCACATCACAGTCTTGCCACACAATGACATGACCTACAATGCATAAACTCACTCCACAGTTCCTAGATACAGCCAACTTACTGTGGACAGATGTAGACTATGACACAAAGGTTTCTCCCCCAAACACAAAATTGTGTTCTGATGCATAGATTCACCCCAAAATACACACAGTCACTCTATGAGTCAAATACCCCACACAGAAAACATGGCTTCCAACCCCCAGAATTGCCCTAGGATACACAGACTTACCCCACAGGATGAAGACACTTCATATTGCACAGTTGTGCCCCTCAGCAGACATGCTTTACAACATAGCCTTGCCCCACAAGGCAGAAGGCACAACACCTGGGCAAAGCCTTCAATGAAGAGATGATAGTACAATGTAAAACACCCTGAAAATGCACACACACCTCCCCAGTCCCAGAACAGCCACAGCATGCTCAGACTTTCTCCCAAATGCAACTTCACTCTGAAACACCTAGAATCAACTCACAGAAAACCCCTATCAGGTTCTCCCCACAGGGCACCACAACTCTCAGACTCTCCTACACACACACACAACCTCATCAGAATGTCACATCACCCTGCTAAACCAATACATGTTCCACAATATTATAGGCGAGCCACACAATATACAGACTTGCCCCACCACTGAG